AGTAGAAGAAAAAATTCAAAGCAAAAGAGCAACATTTAAAGTAACTGAAATGAACATACAGCAGAATATAAACAACCTCACCACCACCCCATGCTGGGGATAGAGCCTAGGGCCTCACATTGAGCTACATTCCCAACTCTTTTTTACTGTAAGTCTTGCTAGTTGCCCAGGCTGGGCTTAAACTCACAATCCTCCTGCCTCAGCCTCCTCGTAGCTGGGATTACAGATGTGTGCCACCACATCTTGACAAAGGTTCGTTCTTTTAACAGACCAAAGAAACTAAGAGTTCTGATAAATTTGATAAGGAAAGTTCATACATCAGGTATATGCTTTATAATTGTAACATATGTATATAGAATGTATCACTGAATGGTTCTGTCACTGTGCAAACATTAGTGCCTACTATACAAACCTAGATGCACAGTCCACTTCACACCTAGGTAACATGTTATAGCCACCACTATATATGAAGTCCATCGAAGACCAGAATGTCATTATACAGTAGTATGCTAGAAAGCTCTAGTAATCAGTGTAGACTTCACAATGATATAAATAAATAGAGGTGTAAAACTAAAAACAGAACACTTAAAAAAGAACCAAGTGTTTTAGACACATAACTGTAGAGATTGCAGAAAAAAGACCCCCTTTCCAACAAAAGCTGCTGGGCAATGGGGTATCTGGCAAAAAATGTTACCATACCCTTTCCTCCTATACCTAATAAACAATTTTCAGAGGTAAGATATCTAAATATAAAGGCAAATTATAAAACATTCTAAAACTGTTATGGGGAATTCTTTTTAAAGTTACACAACAACATTAAAAATATATTAATAAATTAGATTACATGAAATAAAAATTCCACTCATCAAAAATGAAATCAGTACAGTAAAAAGAGAACTAACAGAGCGGAAAAACTAATTCCCACACATACGACTAAAAACTTTTTTTATTGGTACTGGGGATCAAACTCGGGACCTTGCGCTTCCAAGGCAGGCAGTGGAACCACTGAGCTAAACTCCCAGCCCTAAAAAACTTTTAATAAGAGTAAAAAAGGCAGACACCCCAGAATTGAAGCAAGTAAGAGACTTGAACAGCCACTTCATATGGGAGCTATCTGTTTAATAATCATTAAGAAAGCTCAGCCTCATTAGAAATTAGAGAAATGTAAAATAAAATAACATCAGAAAGGTGAAAATAAACAGTACCGATGGAGACATGAAACAACTGAACTCTCATGATCTGGAGTATAAATTGTTATCTACCTGGGGAAACTGGCTGTTGCAGAGACATGACGGCCCCCTTCTCCCTACATACACCTACAGAACTACTGCACATGCATATCATAGTAACACATGAGGATATAGCAGTATTGGTCCAAAGTACTGAAACTCAGGGAGTAGGGGTAAGAGGAGGTGTATTCAAGAACTGATAAATAGCAAGGTATAAGGCACTTTCTACGTGTCACCACATTTTAGGTCTTTTACGTCCAGTTTAACCAACAGTATGGAATGCTAAATAACTTTTCTATAGATGCTATATATGTGAAGTTTTTAACATTTATACATTTTACAAAATATGTAAAATTTATAAAAAAATAAAAATTTACAGAGAAACATAAAGATTAGACTATACACACCGTGTGGGTAGATAAAACTCATCATTAGAAAGATGACGGTTTCCCCCTCCCAAAATTAAACTATAATGTCCCATCAATATTTCTGGGCTGGGAATTTAGCTCAGTGGCACCGTGCCTGCCTCTCATATATTTCAACACTTTTTAAGAAAAGGGATCAACGGGCCGGGGATTTAGCTCAGTGGTTTTGCTGCCTACTGCGCAAGCCAAGGACCCAAGTTCGATCCCCGGTACCAAAAAAAACAAAAGAAAAGGGATCAAAACCAAAAATTCTTAAATGCAACTGGTAGGTTAAATATATACGAAATTAGCCAAGAAACATCTGAATTATGAGAGCTATCATTACCTGCCATAAATGTATAACATTTTAACAGTAAAGACCAGGGGCCCGAGATGTAGCTTTGTGGCAAGGCACCTGCCTAGAAGCACAAGGTCCTGAGTTAAGATCCCTGGTACCACACACACACACACACACACACAAACACCCAAAACCAAACAAACAAAAAACAATAAAGATCAAGAAACTGAAATACAAACACCATGTACAGATGAATCCATACAGATGCAGGAAGTATTTGTACTGTTAAAAGCAACAGAAGGGCCAGTATATATCCAACCACATCAAGAATGACACTAAATGAAATGGATTAAACACAATAACAGGCAAATGTTGGGTCTGAGGAGCACAGATAGGAGGTAGAATGTGTCCACAAAATACAAGGCCCTGGGTTCAAATCCCTACACTCCACCCCAAAAGGCAGCTATTAAAAGGGCATAATGTTGGAAATGTAGTGGAATAGGAGGCCCCGACTCTTCCTCCATTCATGGATACACTGAATAAACATCTACTTGTGTGTAAAATCCCTCTGAGAATGCCTGAGAGTGTCACAGGTGAAGCAAGAGACTTCTATACACTAAGCAACTGGAAAAACTAAGAACAACAAATGAGTAGGGAAAGCTAAGGCACACTTAGACATGAATCCTGCCTGAAACAATGTACCGTTTAATTGGGAAAGAATCCCCAACACTCAACATCACCCTGAAGACAGGAGTGGGATGACATATACAGCACCCTAACTCTAAAGTTCCCTGTGGTTTGAATCTCAGCTCACCTGGGGGCAAGGAGGGGGCACAAGAGGACACCATAAGTCATACAACAGTCTCAAGACCACAGAACAAAGTGGTTGTTTTCTATGGTCATGCAAGTACTTCCACATGCTTCACACCCTGGGCCAAGGCACAGAAAGGGTTCAAACACAACAGTTTAGTTTCTCTCTGGAAGGAATCTGCCAGGACACTGTGCCAATTAATGCTGCTGACAGCTGAGTTTCTATCTATCCTGAATCAATGGGTTATTGGAATCAACAAACTGAAGACTTTCCCTTGACTGGGACCTCAGCACTTTCCAAGCCAGCTCCTCCAGCTCATCCCAGTGATAACTTCTGGTCTATCCATTCTTCCTGGAAGGAGTTTGTCCATGCACTGAGTCTTGCAACTTTAACATCTTCCATTCAAGGGACTAAATCCTAAGCTTCCAAGCTCTGGAAGCACAGTGGACTGGGCATGTGTAAATCTCCCTATATTAGAAATAAGTGGTTTTCAATGGTTGTGTAAGCTCTTCCATGAGCTGCAGCCTCCAGCAGTAGTGCAGAGAAGAATTAACAAGCACAGATTCCCATGTATTCCTGGAAGAGGTTTACAGTATTCTCTTCCAGTGGCTCCTCCAGAGTCTGAATTCTAACTAGTTTGTATGCTAGATGCAATGCAGCAAATAACAACCTCCTGCAGCCTGAGCACAGCTGTTACAATGGTCATTATCAAAAAACTGGAAGATACTAGGTATTCCAAAGAACATGGGTATGGAAAAAAGAGAACCTAGCACACTGTTGGTGTGAATTTAAAGTTAGTACAGTACAGCCATTGGGGGCATAGTGTTAAGATTGTTCAAAGAACTACCATAGGATCCAGCAACCCTAAATAAGGGGATATAACCAAAGGGGATAAAATCTGAATGTTGGAGAGATGGCTGCACTCTGAGTTCACTGTAGCACTATTTACAGTCGTGAAGATATGGAAACAGCTGAAGAGCCTTTTACAGGACAGTATTCCAGATTCCTCCCAGCCTCAGGTATCCAGCAGTTCTCCAGACCTTACAACTCAGGCTGTTAAGCAGGAGAGGATCAGGGCCTAATATTCACTAGACACTCCAAGAGACCAGGGATACAGCAGTGGTGGGCAGTTCTGAAATCCAGGTCGAGGGAAAAATGGAAGGGTAGGCTGTGGACACATTACCCTGTAAAGTCGCCAAGGGGGAAGCTTAACCAGAGGACATTCTGGACAAAAGGAGAGACACAGACACAAATTTCTTGCAAGGGGTAAAGCGATCTCCTTCTACTTGCCGCTCGCATGAAATGTTCACAAATAGAAAACAAATGTTTTTTAAAATGCCATCCAATACTTGGAGAAAAAAATAATAAAGTACTGTGTTTGAAACATAGCATGGGGAACAAGTAATTGATAATGTGAAAAGGGGAAGTTGGCCTTTAAGAATTCGGGCAGTGAGCTGGAAGTTTTGGAATTACGCTCAGACCTTGGAAGAGAAACAAGAACGGGGTTCTGGGTTTGAGACCCTGCTTCCCACACATTCAGAAACCTCCAGAGAAAAGCGCTTGGGTGAAGAAAGAACTGGGAACTCTAAGGACCACGGCCTTTCCAACGCAGGTACCCCACCCGGAGTCGGGATTCTCCCAAGCATCTTCGAGGTCCGCACCGCACAACCTGGGGAGGGGCGGGGAACAGAGAGGCTTCCAGTGGGGGCAGAGGTCACCGCGCGGGGAGGGGACGGGGCCTGGGTCTCGCCCTTAGCCGAGGGGACCAAGGCGGAGCTGCCCAGAGCAGACCAGGACCTGCAGACTCCAGAGCGGATCTCGGAGAGGCCTGGCCCGGCACAGCTGGTTCCCAGGGTTCCAAGCAGCCGCCCTCCTCGTCCTGGGACTCCGGACCGCACGCTCACCATTTCTGGGGTCTCCAGCGTTCTCCTTGTGAATCTCCCACCTCTGCAAGTAACAGCACGACAAAGGCCGCCGCAAGGACACCTGACACACCCGGGACACCAGAGCTAAGCAAAAGGTGCCTGGATCCGGATCCCAAGATTGGCGGGCTCCACACAAAGGCCCGCGAGACTGTGAAAGCCCGCCCCATCCGCTCTGGCTATCTGCCTGATTGGGCAGGCCTCATCTCGGTGCCTCTGATTGGACACCCTTCAGACCACACCCCCTCATCCCCTGAGTAACTGGCGACACCAACCCCTGGCCGAATGGGGGAAAGGTGGCAGGTTTCTGGGTGCGTTTTTTTTTTTTTTTTTTTTCTTTCTTCGTGCTGAGGATTGAACCCAGGGCCTCTGGCTGCCCCAGTTTTAAGGCAGGACCTCCTGCAAGTGCGGGAACCTAGCTCATCGGGGGACCTTTGCATTTAACCTTGTAGATAATGTATGATATATGTGTGATATATGAATAATAGGTGTGTGTATTATTGACTATATTAATATATTATTGACTAATGATTATAGTAAGACTATAATGACAATTATTTTTAAATTCAGTAAACTTTTCTGGTTCCTGATCTGTTGAGGAGGCAGCCTGAACTTTGAAATGATAGGCAATTGCCTAAGGCAGTGATGTCCAAAAAAAATAAAATGTGAAACACATGCGTAATTTTAAATTAAAAGACGTGAAATTTTTGTAATAACTTAATGCAATACACCCAAAATATTATATGTGATCAATATAAAATTATTAATGAAGTATATATAGAGTCCACCAAAAAATGTATATACACTTAAGCAGTTTGCCATACTGATAAATGTCTGAAAGCTAAAGGCCACCACTCTGAGCACCTCTTGTAATTGCAGAGGCCAAAGGTAATTTGTATTAATCTCATGCTGGATCAATAAATTTAGTATTAAAATGTTTATTCAAGTTTCTCTTTTCATGAAGTGTGTATAACTTTTTTTTTTTTTTGGCAGACTCTGTATATACGCACTAAATCTTCAAAACTATTTTAAGCTCCCAGCACATCTCACATCTCCTCTGATCTCAGGGAGGTGAAGCTTCTCCCTTTTATGCCAGAGAGGGTTACCCATTTCCTACCAATATACCTATCTTTTCAGGTCTAAGGAGGGGCAGAGACAGTGCCCTAAGAGACAGCAGGGAGAAGACTACTGCCTCCCATCTGCTGCTGAGTTCAAGACCATCCCTTTTCCAGAGATCAAACGGCTAACAAAGGAAGATGAGCCCAGGAGGTGGAAGCCCATGTGTTCAGATCTCTCCACAGCCTTGACCTCCAGAGTTTACAGACTTATTTTGTAATTTGGCCTTGTAACAAACTGCCATGCTGTGGATGTCTTATTTCCTCCTCTCTACATATATTTCTGTGTAATAGCACCATCTAACAAGACTCCCAAATTCAAATTAAGGGAAAAGAAAATCAGTACCTATATGGCACCTAATATTTGCCAGATAATTTGCAATCTACATGTCCTTGAATCCCGCCATCCTGGGCATACTAGTTATCTACTACTGGAGAATAAGCCATACCAACATTTATTGCCTCATGAATGGGCTAGTCAACAAATTTAGGTGAACTGGCTGTAAAGAGAGGCACCTTGTTTCACCTTCCCTTGATGTCTCATTAGCTCTAGGCTAATGCGGGCTTGTACTCTTGGACACAGCAGTTCTGAAAGAACAAGCATATGCATTCAGGATCTTTCCAGCTTAGGTACCAAACTAACACATCTCAAAGAGCTTTCTATGGGCCATAGCAAATAAGGCCAGCCCAGAATCTAGGTCTGGGGAAGAGATTCTGCATCTCAATGGGAATAGCAATAAGACACATTGCCAAGGTCATGGATACAGGAAAGAAGAAATGCTGACATGCTTTCAATCAGTAGCATTCTACCTTTCCTTATAGATGAAGTTTACATAACTGTTTCAAGTCAAAGAACTTGTCTAAAGCCTCACAATTTAAGCAGCTTGGCTAAGACTCAGAATCAACTCTGCCTGACTCCAAAGCCCAAACATCCATGACTCAAATTCCTAAAAGTCACTTCCTTTGTGCTTTTAGGTCTTAGACAGTGACACTTATTGATTTGTGTCCATCTAGTACTCCTCACCATTGGGAATGTTATCCTTTGAAAGAATGCTTCTGAAGCATCTAGGAAGGACTTGGAATAATCTGGGGAAATGGCTGATAACTGAATTTAGGAAACTGAGGACCAAAAATATATTTTTCATTTCTCATCATAGGAGAAATCTGAAAATTTGTGTAATGGATCCCATGGGCATGCAAATTCTTTTCATCCTTTTTGGCATTTGCAGGCTACTTATTATTTTCAACACAAACAAAACCAAACTACTGTGCCTGAAACATCTTCCTCTGAAAATAACATAAAGAGAGATGTGGAATGTCTGCTGAGAACACATTTTCTCCTGCTGAAATTTAGCCACACAGGTAAGTATATCTTGAAATTGTTCTTAGATGATTTTAGCCAAGTTCTAGGACCCAATGCTAAGGGCCGGGGATTTAGCTCAGTGATTTCACTGTCTGCTGCGAAAGCGCAAGGACCCGAGTTCAATCCCCAGTACCAAAAAAAAAAAAAAAAAATTAAGACCCAATACTGAGATGCTACAATGGAGCAAATCTCCATAGCACATATGGGCATCATGCACGAATAATGAATCCCAAAGTCTAAACTGATGATTCCAATCCCTGGATCCACATTAAAATCTTCTGGAAAGGCTTTTAAAATCTTCCAATCCTAAATCCTCCCAATCCTTTCAACTGATCTATTAAATCAGAAACCTTGTCCTGGGACCCAGGCAAAAGAATTGTTTAAAGGTCTCCAGGTGAATGCAGTGTGAGGCCAAACCCAAACAGTACTGCTTTAAATGAGCATCTTTTGTTTGACTACTTCCAAAAGGTTTCTTAAGTGAATGCTAAAAACAAACAAACTGCTGCTGATTTGTGGCTTTCCAATCTTACCTATATTATATACTTACTATCCTTTGCTGGACCAAACCTCTACTACTAATTTTGTTCCTGACTGAACCCACTTCCACAAGAGTCCTCCCATCTTCAGGGTTCTGTAATAGGTGTCCTAGTCTTGGTGAGCATCATGGTGGGAGGATACTTTGCTGGAAAAAATTGCATTATAAAATCAAAACTATACTACTTATGAAATTAAGATAAAAATTGAAAGACCTACAGAGTCACCCAAGCATTAGGACATAAATAAATACCTCAAAATATTAAATCCATCTAATGAGATCTTGAGTCAACATGTCCCAATTTATAACTGAACAAAACTTCAATGTTATTCCAGGTACTGGGTTAGGATTTTTGTGCCAATATTTAATGTTTAAATTTTTATTGATGAATAACATACATATAGAAATGCATGGACAAAGCATTTGTGTAGAGTACAATACTGCAAATATTACAAAGTGAACACACTTACACAACCAGGAAATGGAGCAGCTTCTCTCTACAAGGTAACATCGTAGATCAACTTGGACTTTTTTGTAGTTGATTTTGTTGTTTTTGTTTTGTATGTAGCTCAGGCTAGCCTTGAACTCACTGTGTAGTCCAGGCTGGCCTCAAACTTGTGGCAATCCTCCTGCTTCAGCCTCCCAAGTGCTGGGATTACAGGCGTGCACAACCACACCTGGCCAATTTAGACTTTTTATACAAGTGTTTTATTACAAAAAATATTAAAAGTACATAAAATAAATTGAATAATAGACCTGTCACTCAGCTTCAATAATTACTAACCATGTGCTAGTTTTTGTTTCTCTAACCTTCAACTTATTCACTATCTCCAAAACTTAATTTTTAAAGTTCTTTTCTTTTTTCTGTGCCCAGAAGTACACATGTATATTGAAACGCATAAATTGTAACTGTATCACTTTAACAAATACACCCGTAAAATCTTCGCTACTTTTAAGAATACTTTCATCTTCTCTAGAAAATTATCTTGTGTTCCTTTCTGGCATTTTTTGTGCTCACAGATGAGAGTTACTGCTGTGACTCTTCTCACCATGGGTTCCTTTGCTTACAATCAGACAATATATATTATTTTTGCCCAGCCACCTCCCTCACTACAAAGTTTGCAAGACTGGGCCAGGGATGTAGCTCACTGGTTCCAGCGCCTACCTCGCAAACACAAGGTCCAGAGTTTGATCCCTGGTACCAGAAAACAAAACAAAACAGAACAGTTTGGGAGATTCACACAGCGTATGTACTACAAAGTTTGGACTTTTGTAGTGCTGAATAGTATTCTATTGTATGCATGCATTTCAATTTCTTCACCCATTTTACTATTGAAAGACATCTGGGCTACTTCCTAGTTTGGTCATTATGACTGAAGGCTTTATGAACATTCTTAGGCACATTTCTTATTTAATTCCATTTTTAGTAGTATATAAATGATCCATCTGTGTTAGCTTTCTGTCGCTGTGTAATATACCTGAGAAAAGTAATCTACAGGAGGAAATGTTTATTTTGGCTCATGGTTTCAGGAGTTTCATCACGATCAGTTGGCTCTGTTGCTTTGATCCTGAGTGGAAGCAGAGGACAGTGGTAATGGGAACATGTAGCAGAGGCGGCTGCTCACTTCATGGTGGCCAAAAAGCAAAAAGAAAAAGAAGGAGGCATGGTATAGACCCAAGGCTGCACTCCAGCAACACACTGCTCAGCTAGATCCCCTCTCGTCACATACCAAGCACACACAGCCCCTGAACCCAGACTTGACTCATGCACCTCCCATGTCATTGTCCATAGGCTCCTGTGGAGAGTTGACACGAGGGAACCCTACCTAGTACACAGGGCCTCTTGCAGATCTGACACAGCAGGAACTGATGACATGATTTAACATAAGTACTAGGAATAACAGCAGAGCAAGAGGTGATTTCAGAGTTTAATTACATCAGTGATGTCTACCTTTTAAAAATCTCAAATTTTGTTAATGAAAAAAGAAGTAAACATTGAATATAATCCTACTACCTCTCCAAAACAAAACAAAAAAACAGTATCTTGTCACTTTAAACATATACACAAATAAAGTATCGTTTTCACTTTGGATTATTCTCTATAAAACACTCTGAGTAATGTTAAAAAGCATTAGTTCCGCAGTGGTTTCTCATGTAAATCCTGTAATGTTTGTGTATATAAGTATATAATCTTTAAAAACAATTTCCTGCCAAAGACATTTTTTGTGGTGTTGGGATGGAACCCAGGGCCTCGTGCCTGCTAGGGAAGCTCTCTACTACTGAGCCACACCACCAATTCAAAGATGTTTTATTAAGCAGAAATTAATTAAAATCATTTAAGATTATCATGAGAAATTTTCTTTCTTTTCTTTTTTTTTTTTTTTGGCACCAGGGTTCAAACTCAGGAACTTGTGCTTGCCAGGCAGGCATAGTGCCACTGAGCTACATCCCTGGTCCCAATCATGAGAACTTTTCAAACAAGACAATTCTCTCAATCAAAAACAAGATAGGCTAAAAAGCATATTTTTCTAAATACTGTTGATAAAATATAGCAGAAGTACTTAGGATTATGAATTCTGGCTGTGACTGTAGCTCAGTGGTACAGTACATGCCTAGCGTGCAAAAGGCCCTTGAGTTCCAACCCCAGTACTGAAAAAAAAAAAGAATTCCACAGAAAACTAAAACGGGAAATAAAATTAACAGTCAAATATGATGAATCTATTGGATTAAAATGGAGCCTAGAGGAAATGGGTGGTTTCCCAGTAAAAATACATATTAACAAAAAGAAATCAAAAATAAGGAAACTATAAATAGACCAAATGGCACAAAAAAGCTTGGAAGATGCTTAGAGCTTGCCCATTGGAAAGATCTTAGAAATACTGGGATCACATATGAGTGTTCCCTGACTTTTAACAAAGTCTGATTTTATATAAAATGATGAAGATGTAGAAAAAAAGAGGTGGCTTTCTTAAATTCATTTTATATTATAATATATCTTAATACAGTCAAGACATTTTATCTAGGATGGCAATGTTTACACACCAGACATTATTTTGTGCATCATTAGAAAGATTATGCTAAACTGTAGCAAAAGAAAAAGTGTAGCTGATAAATTTACCTCCCCCATAAAAGCCACAAAATATATTTTTAACAAATTCTGGCTTTAGTATAAATGATGCATTTAGACTTAGATAATGTTGCCAAATTTAACACATCTACTATTCAACTTCCCCTACTACTTTAACACTGTAAGGAAAATGAATCATTAAAACATCAAGAAAACCAAGTAATAGGATGGACTTGGCCCTTTGCCCTCCAGTTCAAGGATGACTATATGGCAGCACCCCAGCTTTCGCCAAGACTGTCCCAGCATTTCTCCTGTTTGTGTGCCCAGACTTCCCTCCAGAAACAAATTGCAATCAGTATGTTATAAAGATGAGTGGTCACAACCTCCATGAAGGGTTGCCATTGTAAAGTGAACTTTGCTAAACTATTACCCAAGAAAGAGACAAACACACCAGAAGCTCTCTTGAGCACAGGAGGCTTTATTCTGACTTCCCTACCTTTTCCTCCTTTGTGGGCCCCTTCATCAGGAAGCTGCCAGGGTGTCTCCAGGGCCAGTCCCAAGGAGGAGTAGAAGGCTCGGTCCTCACTGTGGATGCTGATGACCATGAGGGGCCAGTACACTGGGGCCCCTGGAGAAGGAGGCTCTGGGGCTCAACACAGGGCAGTCCCTGGCACTGTTTAGCAGGATTGCACCCACTCCTAAATATCATAACTTTGGACATGGAAACTGAAATAGAGCCCACCATGCCCTGATCTGAATGGGTGGTGCTGTGGATTGAAAAGTTCATTCTCCAGAATTCAAGTGGTATAGCTGGGTATGGTGGCCCACGCCTGTAATCCTGGCATTCCAAAGGCTTCAAGGCCAGCCTGAGCTACATAGGAAGACCCTGTCTTAAAACAAAACAAAAATAGAATTCATGAGGTGCAGACTTCACCCCCAAAGTCATATTCTAATGGAAACTTTGGGAGGTGATTTCGTTTTAAGGGCTCTGCTAATAAGAATGAATACTTTCGGGGATGGAGATTTAGCTCAGTGGTTCCACCTCCTGCCTTGCAAGCGCAAGGTCCCGAGTTCAATCCCCAGTACAAAAAAAAAGAATGAACACATTCATAAATAATGGATCAACAAGGTATCAAGGGAGTGGTTTTGTTATAAAAGCAAGCTTTCTCTGGCACAATTTTTCTCACCAATTACATTGAGCACCACTTCAGGGCTCAGTCCCTACTAGCAAGTAGATCCTTAACAGAGGCAGTACCTCAACCTTGGACTTTCTAGTATCCAGAATTGTAAAAATACACTTACTTGGGCCAGGGATTTAGCTCAGTGGTTTCGCCGCCTGCTGCGCAAGCAAGCGCAAGGAACCAAGTTCGATTCCCCGTACCAAAAAAAAAACAACA